ATATTTTTCAGATACAGATATATGTCGAGTCCCTTATTCTTTAATATTTTTCAGATACAGATATATGTCGAGTCCCTTATTATTTAATATTTTTCAGATACAGATTTATGTCGAGTCCCTTATTATTCAATATTTTTCAGATACAGATATATGTCGAGTCCCTTATTCTTTAATATTTTTCAGATATGCAGTTATCCGTCGAGTCCCCTATTCTTTAATATTTTTCAGATATGCAGTTATCTGTCGAGTCACTTATTCTTAAATATTTTTCAGATAAAGATATATGTCGAGTCCCTTATTCTTTAATATTTTTCAGATATACAGATATAAAGGGTGAACCTAAAAAACCCACACATAATACAAATTCTTCTCTAATTGTTTAATGCATTATGATTCAAACAGTTTTATTGGATATATTTTAGTGGTTACATATATATTTGAGTATTTTGAAACTTTTAGTAGTCTCCCTTCTGGATTTGACGGCCTTCTTTGTCTATAACAGCTTGTAGTCGGTGGGGCAGAGATGCCATCAAATGTCTACATAGAGCCTTATCATCGTCAATCTCTCTCCATGCTGCAATGATGGCTTTCTTCAGCTGTTGGTCATTAGAGCATTCTTTTTCAGCAACCTTTCCCTTAAGAATACTCCAAACATTTTCTATTGGCCATAAGTAGTGATTTTGACACTGAAATCAGTATTGATGATCTTTCCCCACTTTCTGTCATTCCTCACTCTTCTCCCATAAACACTAAGGAATACCTTGCACACTCCACACGTCTCTACTTGTGCTCATCTGACATTTTCTGTACCTTATACTTGTGGTATGCCTTATATCCATATTTTTTCACGATTCTTACAACTGATGTTTGAGAGACTCCAACTCTTTTAGAAACAGACCGGGTGCTCCTGCGTTCCTAATTGTTCATCAGTCTCTTCACCTGGGCAATCTTTCTTCCTGGAACAGAGGGTCGTCCGTTCCCCTTTAGGTGATCAGCACAGAACCCATACATTGCAAACTTCTTCTTCTGGTAGACAACAAAGCTTCTCAGGCTTTCTTTTTTGATTGCATTGACAGTGTCAGGACCGGGAACTGCAGCAATATACAGTCACTTCATTATTTTACCATCACTGGCATGTTGCTTTTTCTGGAGATAGGTCTCTATCTGTGATTTCAAGATGGATTTAAGCTTTTATCCATTTTTTCTTGGTAGATTCACTATCAACTGGTCCCAAATAATAGTTTTGCGGATTTTCATCCATTATTATATGGTTTTTCTTAGTAATAATCCAAAAAATCCGTTTTGTGTGGTTCTTTTAGGTTCACCCTTTATGTCGAGTCCCTTATTCTTTAATACTTTTCAGATATGCAGCTATCTGTCGAGTCCCCCATTTCTAAATATTTTTCAGATTCAGTAATCTGTTCCCATTTTTTTTGTATTTTTCAAATACAGGTATCTGTCGAGTCCCTTATTTTTCCCCCTGAAGGTCTGAAAGCATAAATATAAAGAAAGGGAAAGTTGAGACTATAGATTACATCTATATATGCTGTTTTGATCTGAAGAATGCAAATATAGATCTTAAATTGCAGTTTTAACCTTGATATATCTCTAGGATGCAGTTTGAACTGCAATGTTTTGACGTGTTGAAGAATCCAACGCTTGTATCAATCTTATAAACTTGTAAACAATACAACAAATTGATAAAGGATTAGTTGAGAGTTGGAGGGGAGGATAGGGGGGTTTTGGGGTTAATGGTATGAGGGATAGGAAGAAGGTTAAGTAATAATTAGAAGGTATTATAAGAGATATGGGTGAGGAGGTTTAACGTTTTTGAAGCTGATATATGAAGGTTGTCAAATTCTTTCTTTTCTTTAATCCTACTTTACTCAAGGTTTAGTTTTTAATCCTCAATGTGTAAATATTAATTATGTAAACATAGAAACCAGCAAGGTAACCATGACAGTAAGAAAAAGACTGCATCATATTATAGAATATTTTTTCATGAAAATGTTTACAGATTTGAAGATAAATATTTATATTAGTAGATTCCTATCTTCCTGGTAGATTCCTATCTTCCTGGTAGGTTCCTATTTTCCTGGTGGATTCCCGTTTTTCTGGTAGATTCCTTTTTTCTTGGTAGATTCCCATTTTCCTGGTAGATTTTCAATATTTCTATTCCTAAGTTGAAGATTTAAACTATTAGATTTGATTTGTTGCATGTTTATAGGTTCTATTTATCCAAGGTGTTACAGAGTACAGATAGAATCTTCAAAATATTGAATCTCATAAAATTTGAGAAAATATTAAATTTCATATTTTAGTATTAAAGTTCAATATTCATTTAAACCTTTTTGAATGAATCCAACTCACAGAGCACAGGTAAGATTTCCACCGAACTAAATTTGGTAAATTTTGACAAAAAAATCCGGGGAATTCGTGCGAAATTCCGCGTAAACTATCATTTCCTGCTCAAGTCATAATTTTCTTACTTCATTTGCATGTCAACTGTCTATTATTCATGTCCATTTTGTTGGGAGAGGGGGGGGGGGAATTTCTTCAGAAGATTGGATCCTGTGAGAAGGGTTACTAACTGAAGTCAAAAAGATATATCATGGTTTGAATTATCTAAGGTTCACGACATCGGGTTGCTAAGATATAATTTAAGACTTAATTCCTTTGTGTTTCGCACATTTTTGGCCAAATTGCATTGTTGCGCAAATTGGAATTTTTCTGCATATTTCGCGGTAAAAGTTTGCCTGTGTTTTACATTCAGGCCATTGGATAAGACAATATCAGGGGGCAAGAATTCTGTAAATTGTCCAACTACTATGTACTTGTGTAATACATGGCTTTTTGGAAGTCAAACATTATAGAAACCGAACGTATAGAAACTACTAGTTATAGCAACAAGGTGTATTTTTCTGGAGAATATTTTTTTATTTTTAAGAAATTAAATAATCAGTGTAAAGTAGATATAATTTTCATAAAATCCTTTTATTTAAATGGTAACACGGAATTTTACGAAATTATATTAGCAATACCGGAAATTTTTTATACTTTTGAGAAATTATTTTTTTTGTAAAAATAAACTGTAAATATCATTTTCCTAAAAGTTTTTTTTTAAAATAGTAATAATCAATTGTATGAACCATGTAAAAGCATTCATTTATGTTGTCAGTCCATAATAAAATCTGGGGGACCTTAAACACAATAGAGAGCAGTACAAATGTACTAAATCTAGTTGGTTGTATAGTGTCTAGGGTATGTTAAAAAATAAAAATAATGATATTGATAAATGATAAGCTACAATGTTTTAGAAAAAAGTTCAATTTCTCTAAAATTTAAAAATATTCTCTCGCAAAATACACCTTGTATACCTGGCGGTTTCTATAAGGTGGTTTCCATAATGTTTGACTTCGCTTTTTGGTCTACTAACAAGAATTGATAAAAGTAAATTAAGCATATGCATGAATTTTGAATTTTAAGGAATGAAAATACTCCGGATTAAAATTCTAATTTGAGCAGGTTCTCCAGGTTTTCATTCCGGGATTATTTCACGCTCCGTGAACAAATTCCCACACAGAGAAAAAGAAATAAAGTTTAAAAGATTTTAATATTTGAATTTATCTCCCCAAAGCAAATACTATCTACTAAACTAAATTGCTCATTCTGTCTAAATCCCTAGGCAAGGTAGGCCAAACTCAAAACGGGTCGAACGGGCTTAATATTTTTATTGAATGTTTTTGACTGATATCTTATTTACCAGAACAATAAACCAGGAACCAGAAACCAGGAACCAGGAACCAGAAACCAGGAACCAGGAACCAGGAACCAGGAACCAGGAACCAGGAACCAGGAACCGGGAACCAGGAACAAGAGATAGGAACCAGGAATTCCAGCAACCAGGGACATGAACCATGATCTGTATATCCAAGTACTAGAACCAGGAATCAGGAATCAGTAACCAGGAACAGGGAACCAGTAACCAGGAACCAAGCACCAGGAACCAGGAACAACCATACAATCCTAATATTGTTCTGGTTATTGTCGGTGTCTGATACTCTCCACTGAACCCTTTCTAGTGTACTTCANATGGAGCATGGAGCATGGAGCATGGAACATGGAGCATGGAGCATGGAGCATGGAGCATGGAGCATGGAGCATGGAGCATGGAGCATGGAGCATGGAGCATGGAGCATTGAGCAAGGAACTAGGAACTAGGAACTAGGAACTAGGAACTAGGAACAAGGAAACAGGAACCAGGAATCAGAAAACAAGCAACCAGGAACCAGGTACCAAAGACCAGGAACCAAAGACCAGGAACCAAAGACCAGGAACCAAAGACCAGAAACCGGAATCAGGAACCAGAAACCAGGTACCAAGAACCAACCCTAGGAACCCGAAACCAGGTACCAAGAACCAACCCTAGGAACTAGAAACCAGGAGCCAGTAACCAGGAACTAGAAACCAGGAACTAGAAACCAGGAACCAGGAACCAGGAACTAGAAACCAGAAACTGCATTTGAAACTAAGAAACCTGCCGTATTTCTTAATCTGTTGTATTTGATATTTTAAAAATATAAATTTGATCAAATCTAGAATATATAAAATTATAGAATAACTTCTTGAGATATTTGTTGAATTCAGTGAAAATCCTTCAAGAGATTTAACATTTACAGATTTACAGATTTCAACCAGGGAAAAGGAATAAAGGGAAAGGAAATGGCGCTGGTCTGGCATTCCTGGCACTGCTTTGCAGACGAGTTCGGTATTACACACGCACACTCTTTTGGTACAGACACCCAACATGACTACAGTCAAGGAAATTGCAGAACACTGTCGTCAATCATGATTAAGCTTGAATAACGAGTAGTTTATTGTTTCCCCCCCCCTGATTTCAACCATAGGTAGGTAGATAGATAGATAGATAGATAGATAGATAGATAGATAGATAGATAGATTTATAGATAAAAGTAAAATTGTTGAGAGAAACTGTCTAGTGCAATGTCTGGCCTCCTATTGTTAATATACTCAACCATTATTCCAAGGTTCTTTTTTAAACATTTTTTTACAGTTTTATACATTTTTATACAATTTTATACATTTTTATACAGCTTTATACAGTTTTATACATTTGTATACAGTTTTATACATATTTATACAGCTTTATACATTTTTATACAATTTTATGCAGTTTAAAACAATTTAAAACATTTTATAAAACGTTTTATACAGTTGTTTACAATTGTTTACATTTTATACCATTTTTATACAGTTTTAAGCATTATCTTACATTTTTATACTGAAGTTAATCTGGCCTGAGCTGAAAACTTTTGAATTGGATACCCTTAATCCCGATTGCTAAATCTCTGAACACATGCACTGTGGACAGTTCTGATTTTCTTTTATTCCTCTCTTTTGGAATTTCCTACTGCAACCAATGAGAGTTCTTTTATTGATTGCGCGCGCAAAATTTCAAAATTTCTTGGCTTGTGATTGGATGTCCAGATTCTTGAATCGACACTGATTGGTTTAATTTTATGCACTTTCCAGGATAAAAACTAAAGATTAAATCAATCTTGAGATTAATGAAAAGAGGAGATCAAGTATTGATCTCGATATCCACCATTATAAAGTTTTCAGCTCTGTTAAAGATCAAGCTACACAGACCAAACAAATTGCAACTGTACAACAGCTGCACATGAAAATGTTGATTTTTTAGGCTGATGTGCAGCAGAGATCAAGCACTCCAGGTATAGATTATAGATACCAGATAATATACAATATAATAATATACAAATCAAAAACAATTTTAAATTTTCAAAATTTTTAGAAAACAACATGCAGATAGCTGCAATGTTGTATTAAGATACATTCCTTAATAAAAGCTAGTTTTTTGGTATGCAACAATCTTGATTGAATCTCGCTAATCTAAAACTTTTCTAGTGATTTAAATAATGTGCGTCCCCAATATGCGTCCTCAATTTGCGTCCTTATCATCAGTGCTATCTCGCTTTACGCTTCATATTTAAAACGTCCTATTACGATTGTCCTCTTTTGAAACAGATATTGTCGAGATAAATGAGGAATATTCCTTTTAATCCTGAATAATCCTGAATCAAAACTTTTGTGTGGAGTCTCGTAAATCTTGAAAGCTGTAAGTCGATATCCAATTTAAGTACTTAGCTTTATGTCGATATCCAATTTAAGTACTTAGCTTTATGTCGATATCCAACTTAAGTACTTAGCTTTATGTCGATATCCAATTTAAGTACTTAGCTTTATGTCGATATCCTATTTAAGTACTTAGCTTTGTGTCGATATCCAATTTAAGTACTTAGCTTTATGTCGATATCCAATTTAAGTACTTAGCTTTATGTCGATATCCAATTTAAGTACTTAGCTTTATTTCGATATCCAATTTAATTACTTAGCTTTATGTCGATATCCAATTTAATTACTTAGCTTTATGTCGATATCCAATTTAAGTACTTAGCTTTATGTCGATATCTAATTTAAGTACTTAGCTTTATGTCGATATCCAATTTAAGTACTTAGCTTTATGTCGATATCCAATGTGGGTACTTTTAATTTGAGAATAAGTGCTTGATCCCTTATTTAAGTTATCCCCAGCCACAGGGTACGGTATCCCCAGCCACAGGGTACGATTGCTACGGGATATCGAAGAGGAATTATATCAATTCGTAGATCTGCAAAAGATGGAGCTCAATGATTGAACTCGAAATTTACAGAACCAACAGTTCTGATTTCCGTTTTAGTTTTAATTAGAACATTAAATTTGAAGGTAGAAGCAGAGAAGAGAATCTACATAGATGATGATGTTCAGAAGTATTCAAGGTGTAATTCAAATTATTTTATTAAAGTAACTAATAACGTAATTTCAAGTGACTCTCGATCCATTTAAAGGGAGTGTTCGCGAAAAATGAGAGGGGTTTGATCGCTACTAATCTTACTTCTATCTGTTGCGTCTATAAGGAGAAAATTGTTAAAGACGTCTCATACCGAAGAACGTAGCGCCTATACAAATTGAGAAAATTGCAGCATACGACCATAAAAAAAATGAAATCGTGTAGATCAGTTGAAATCAGTTATTACCACTTCGGAATAAATCCTCACTTTTAGTACAATTGAAAATAATAGATTTTCAGAGAGAAAAAGAAGGATTAGTATACTTGATAAAACAAATGTTTAAATGATACCTTCGTAATTAATTTGAGGTTTACTTGAAAATTCGTAGCTACTTTTCCAATAAAGGTTCGGGAAAATTAAAGAAGATTTTTATATATTTCTATTAAAGGAAATTAGCTTTTATTTGATTTAAAAGCCAATAAACAACGTTGGTGGGGTTTGAAGAAGATGATGGTAAATTAACAAATTATTTTTTGAAATAATATGGAATTGAAGTGAATAGATCGATACGTTTATGACGTACTATTATACTAAATAAAAATAAATTAAATTGTTTATCTAGGACTCCCCAATCTGTTGGATACGGAGGATTTGAAGGTTTCCCAGGTAAAATTAAGATGAATAGGATAAGAAATTGCTTTTCCAGAATTTTTTTTACAAACTTATAATTAAAAAAAAAAAACTTAATCGACTTTTTAATTTGTTGTGGGCTTCTTGTAGAGAAACTTTTTTTTAAATTAAGTTTTTGAGTTAATCATTAAAGATGCTAAATCAGAAATACCAAAAATAATCTGAAGTAGAAGGGGCTGACGATGTAAATTTTAGTTTTAAGGGACTTTCCATGTTCTAATTACCATTTAAACCTTTGTTTGATCAATATATTGATTGAGATCTTTATTTTTCTAGATGAAAACTGATAGCTTTTAATTTTGGTTGCTCTGTAAAATTGTGACTTGCAGATATGCTACAGAGAAAACGAAGTTTTAATAACATCTTTTAAGATAGAAAAACGAAGATATCTTCCTTATTGTCATAGACTGTAAAGGCTTAAAGAATATCGTTGCGATTCTTTAATTAAATCACTTGAAACTATGTCTACAGTCCCTTTAAATTTTAGAAGTTGTGAATCCTATCCACTGGACTCGAAAAATGGAATTTGAGAAAGTTCTTGAGATTTTAGAAGTTGTGAATCCTATCCACTGGACTCGAAACTATGTCTACAGTCCCTTTAAATTTTAGAAGTTGTGAATCCTATCCACTGGACTCGAAAAATGGAATTTGAGAAAGTTCTTGAGATTTCTCCTCTTATCTTCAAGTTAGTTAAATAAATAAAATATAACAAGGAAAATTAATTTAATATTTTTGTTAAGGAACAATGATAGGGGGTATAGGATAAAACCTGAGAATAAGAACTGTGTAAAAATTATACCAAAAAGGACATATGTCAGAATTTGTATAAAAATTGTAGCATTAAACAGATCATATTCAACAATTACGCAACCAATATGAAAACGACTATATCTCACAGCAACCTGAAAATCTCAGGTTTGCTCTTGTTATAATTATTTTATTTGCATTTTGCATTTTTTTATAACCTAATTGATAATATTATTACATTTAATCCGTATAGTCCGTATTACGTCACCAGTATTTCACCCAATGGCAGTGCAGTATACTGGTCACGTGATTTCTGTCTGTACCACGTGACAACGATACTGCACTGTCATTGACTGAAGTTATTTTGACGTAATACGGACTATATGTAATAATATTATCAATTATATCTATTAAAAATGCAAGATGCGAGATAAAAAATCATAATATGAGAAAACCTGATATTCTCAGGCTCCTGTGGGATATAGTCGTTTTTAGATTGGTTGCATAATTGTTGAATATGATCTGTTTAATGCTACAACTTTTATACAAAATCTGACATATGTCCTTTTTTGCATAATTTTGACACAGTTTTATTTCAATTTCTCGAGAAAGGAACATCAGATAGATGTCTTATATGTATTGTTTAACGCCTGAGATTCTCAGGTTTCATCCTATACCCCCTTTCATTTTTCCTTTACAGTCCCTTTAAGCAAGTAAAATCCTAGAAAATTTTGAGAGAACATTTCTCTTAGAATTAAATCTAGGTAAAATAACGTGTTTCAAGTTTACAAGACCACCAACAAGTTTTTTCGTTTTGAAATGCAACAAAATCATTTTAAAAATCGTTTTTTAGATTTTTTTGATTTTTTGATACACTATTCACTTAGATTCTCATTGCTAGGATTCTTCATCAATTATTAGTTTTTCTATAAATTTCTTCAATATCATAGTTAATAGTTTACTTCATCATCCCTTTAACATCGTCTTATAGTTAGTTTACTTCATCATCCCTTTAACATCGTCTTATAGTTAGTTTACTTCATCATCCCTTTAACATCATCTTATAGTTAGTTTACTTCATCACCCCTTTAACATCGTCTTATAGTTAGTTTACTTCATCATCCCTTTAACATCATCTTATAGTTAGTTTACTTCATCACCCCTTTAACATCGTCTTATAGTTAGTTTACTTCATCATCCCTTTAACATCGTCTTATAGTTAGTTTACTTCATCACCCCTTTAACATCATCTTATAGTTAGTTTACTTCATCAACCCTTTAACATCGGCTTATAGTTAGTTTACTTCATCACCCCTTTAACATCGTCTTATAGTTAGTTTACTTCATCATCCCTTTAACATCGTCTTTTAGTTAGTTTACTTCATCATCCCTTTAACATCATCTTATAGTTAGTTTACTTCATCACCCCTTTAACATCGTCTTATAGTTAGTTTACTTCATCATCCCTTTAACATCGTCTTATAGTTAGTTTACTTCATCACCCCTTTAACATCATCGTCTTATAGTTAGTTTACTTCATCATCCCTTTAACATCGTCTTTGTATTATATTCAGGTTGAAAACGAACGGTTTTGTTCCAACTTCCACGAGCACTCTTGGATTAGACAAATTTAAACAAGAAAAATATATTTTTAGGATTCTTTAATTATCTTTAAATTATCTTTTAACAAAAAATTAAACAAAATTTATTTACTTAACTCAAAGTAAATGTAGTTAATACTGAGGAGTTTTTGTATGTTCAAATAAAGTAAATTGTTATGATAGCTTGGACTGACTTATATGTGACTATATTTAAATAAACAAAAAATAGAAATAGAAATAAAAATCATTCAATTCAATCTATTAATGTATTTTTAACTTGTTTGTTTGTCTGTTTGTTTGTTTCCAAAAAGCGCCAAAAATGCTAAACCGATCAGGCCCAAATTTGAATGGTAGCTCACATCACCCAGTGACCCAACCCAATGAGGATTAAAGCATGCAGAAAAAAATATTGCCAATAAAAAATGTTAGAGAAAGGAATTCAGTCTTTGCCACAAACTTACATTTTATAATCCCTGTATCTAATCAATCTGATGGTGTACACCTTTGATATTTCAAATTGAGATTATTTAGTCTAACAAAATTCATAGTTTGAATTATCTAAGGTCTACGCCATTGGGTTGCAAAGAAATAGGTATTAGAAAATAAGAGCTTGTGCCAAAAACTCAATTCCTTTGCGAAATATATTCTTTAGAGGTAAGAAGATTAAATTTTACAAGAAAATGCCTGGTTTCAGAAAGTTATTTCAGAGGTGTACGCATCTTTTGTACTGAAGTGTACTGTCTCTGGGCGGTAATGTAAACACAAGACGGATGTCGAAGCCTGACATGAGATCCGTCTTTCACATAAAAAAATCAATGAAATATTCTGGTCATAGGAAACTATTATGCATAATTTTCACATGTGAATTATCAACATTATCAAGATTTAATGCTTTTAACCTCCTCGGATATTAAACAAACACTGATTCATCTATTCTTGTTTACAAATTCCACCCAGAGAGAACTGGTTTCAATATGTACGCAGAGTAAACGCAAGAGTTAACTTTCCTTGCATTAGAACCTTGCTTTAATCTAAATGTCTAGGGCTACAAAACAGGGGTAGATAAACTCAAAGACCTAGGCGTTGAAACACATCAAAGTCGACCCAGTCTTTAAAAGTTATACAACTTTACTATACAGATAACAATCAAATATTTTTTACAAAATGGATATCTCACAGTTTAAAAGTATTTTCATAAAAGGCTCGACAGGAATTGCTTGAAAAATTCCTAGGATTGCTTTCAGAATCCGTAATTCTTCAGGTTACCTTTTTTAGCAGTGTTTTGTGATACATGATAAACAAATAGGTTTCAGATTTTAGTTTCATAGCACTGTAAAAACAAGCAATTTGGTTGCAGAAGTTTAATCTTTTTGTTTGGAGGTTGTATATATAAAGTCTACACAGAATAAGTACTCTTTATCGAAAGTGTACTTTTATTAGTCTCTATAAAAAATTCCATTATTTATGACAATTTAAAGATGACAATAAATATGCATCAAGTGTTGTGATGTCTAACAGACCTTAATTCAAATTTCAAGAAAATTTTATTAAAATTAAATCAAGGTCTATTTACTCATGTTTTAAAGGAATACCTGTCTATTAGATGAAATTTACATTCAAAATCATATTTTGTCGTTTTTAAATGTTCAATTCAACACCATGTATATCCAGGCGTTTTATACATTTTGTGCTGAAAACGTGTTAAGTCCTGTGTGTTCATATTTAAAGCTGTTTTATCAAAATATTAAATAAATATTTCTTATAAAATCAGTCATAAAAATTCTTGCAACTAAAGGGACTGTATACGTAATTTCAAGTGGACCTCATTTCTAGATTGTCATGTCCGAATCACTCCGGCAACCTGTATCAACGACATGGGAGAATTCCGTGCTTTTCAAACTAAACTATATAAAAAGACATCGTGTTAGTGTCTTGTCAGGTGAACAAGGTTCCTAAGCGGTCCAGAATCTGGCATGTAATGGTCAAATGTTTAAAGGGTACCGTTCTAAATCTAACATGCCACATACAGGTCACTTGAAATAAAACGTGTACAGTCCCTTTTATATAATACTAACCGTGGAAAATGGAGACAGCTGGATTAAACCGTTAATTAACATTATCAAATCTTATCAAGACAGAACAGAAAAAAAACAAGTTACAAAGTTGTTTATAATTATTTTGTGTATCAAAACTTAAAGAAGGTTCTTGAAAAAAATAAAAAATATTTGTTTATTTATATTATACTAGCTGAAGGGCCCGGTGTTGTCCGTGGAAAAAAAATGTTAAAATTAAAAAATTAAAAAAGAAATTTAGCTTAAAACAATCTGAGAACCAAAGTTAATGTTTTGGAAAACACCGAGTGTCCCATGATACAAAGTTAAAAGGTGTTTAATAATGTGAATTATACGCAGTACAAATATTTTTTAAAATCAAAAAAGTACGTTTTCTTCTATCTTATCTTATCTTATCTATCTATGACGTACTGGAACAAAACAGATAAATATTTGATAATTAATTGAGGATGTGCATACCTTAAAGGGACTGTATGTGTAATTTCAAGTGACCATCCATGCAAAGATGACAATTCCCGATACCCTGAAAAGCTTTGAATGATCAAATATGAATTTTATATCACTTTTTATAATTATAGAAACTAATTTTTTTCAATTGTGGGTTTTCTACAAAAGTTAATTTCGCATTTTACTGTAGGAAAATAGATAGAATTTTTTAAAATTAAATACTTTTAAACCTTGAAAAATTACATTGTCTTCCTAATTATTGATCAGATAATAGTTTCAAGGGTACTCTTGTGAATCTGGCAATGCGATCTTTGCATAGAGAGACACTTGAAATTACACTTACAGATGTCCACTGGGATTTAAAGGTTTCGCGCTCTCAAGCAAAAATCGATGAGAATTTTTCCAATTACTTATTAAAACCTGTGGCGGATATGAATGTCGTCTTCCGGAATACTTCTAGAGAAATCCAATTCAATGGTTTCACTGCTTCTACTCCACGTCACAAGGTTCGTCATCACATTCTTACCAACCCTGGCCCGCCGGTTTTTTCCAAAGCCCGCCGGTTGGATCCTGCTAAACTTGCTATAGCTAAAGCTGAGTTCTCCGCCATGGAAAAGGCAGGCATTATCCGCCGTTCTACTTCGCCCTGGGCTTCTCCACTACATATGGTCAAGAAGAAGGATGGAGGATGGAGACCCTG